GGTGGCCGTGTCCCAGCCAGGCTGGGTCCAGTCCCCCACCCGTCCCCTCCCCAGTGCCCCCCTGGTGCCTGCGGGGTCCCCAGGGTGGCCCTGTTCTCTGTACGGTCATCTCCCCGCCGACCCTGGGCTGGCTGCGGGGTTCCCAGGGTGGCTGTGTCCCAGATGGGGGTCTATGGGGACCCCAAGGTGGCCACGCCCTGGATACAGTCCCCTCCCTGCTGCTCTTGGGGTGGCTCAGGGGTTCCCGGGGTGGCTCTGTGCTGGCTGGGGTTCCCTCCTTGCTGCCCCCGGGCTGCTATGGGCTCCCCAGGGTCGCCATGCCGCGGCCGGGCAGGGTGCAGCCCCCTCCCGCGGCGTCCGTGGGGTCCCCAGCACGGCAGTGGCGCAGCTGGGCTGGGTCTGGCCCTCCCCTCCCGTCTGGGCAAGCCCCAGCTGTGTCGGGAAATCAGCCCTGTCTGCACCAATTTCAGCTCCTCTTTGTTTCCCAACCGGCTTGGCCCCCGGCCGGGCGTTCCCCACGCTCCGGGGAAGCTGGCTCCCTCCCTGCAGGGGCTGCCCGCACCCCAGCACTTGCCCCGGGGAGCCCCATGGCAGCCGATGGCTTTGGGGGGACACCTGGCTGGCCTGGGATGGTTTGTGGTTGCGGGGTGGCCACAGCGTTGAGGCTTTGCACAGCCGCCCCGCTGCTGCTGCTGCTGGCTTCCCCGGGGGCTTGGGGTTGATTTTCCTCCTGTCCTGATGAGCCAGGGTGGCTCGTCCCATGGCTGCTCCTAGTGACAGGAGCCCGAAGCGTGAAGCTAGCCATGTGATGGGGTCAAGCTCTGTCCCAAACTGAGCCTGGTCCCCCCAGGTGTGGGCTGGGCTGCCCCATGCCGGCAGCTGCCATATGCCCCCAGCTGGGGTGTGGGCACCGGGGCTGGCAGGGGCACCTGCATCCCTGGGGAGGAGCAGCATGTGCTCCTGCTTCTGTGTGCCAGGGTGCCCCCCAAACGCCAGCAGTGCAGGACTGGGCACGGGAGGCAATACACATCCCAATGCATGCCCACTGCGTCGCTGGTGGGTAGAGGGGATCCAGACCACCTCGGAGCTTGGAGCACCCCAGCTGCATGGGCAGGGCAGCACTCATCTGCTCGTGTTCCCCTGTGGGCACCTTGCACAACCTCTATCCTTCCCAGCACGGTTGGCACCAGCTCCGGTGGCACCTTGGCAAGGGCAGTGCCCGGCCACAGGGCCCGCCAGGTCCGGCTCCCCTGCTGGGGTGGGGGCACCGCTGGCGGCAGCCCCAGGCCCTGTGCTCCTGAGCCAGTCCCGGATCTGGCACCCAGCCCGAGCAAATGGGTGAGCTTCGCAAACAAGCTTCGACCGGCAGTGAGCGCCTGCCAAGTACGCGTGCGCTCGGTGGGGCCAAGCCGCGGGGACACTGATGCTCAGGGTGGGGGGGTCCAGCCCCAGCACTGAGGGGCCATGGTGCTGCCCACCCTGCCCAGGGCCAAATTGCCCCGTCGCCCTCGGGTGGGCACAGACCCAGCACCTGCTCCTGGCTGGCTGGGCAGGAAGCAGGCAGGGCAGGGCAGAGACCGGGCAGTGCCTGGCACAGGCGATAAGGCTCCGTGCCGGACGTCCAGGCAGCCTGGCTGGGCAGGATGGGGCTCTGCCACGCTGCTGGGGAGCAGCTACCATGCCTGCTGTCAACTGCTGTCCCTGAGGGGCTCCACCATGCCGCGGGCACGGGGCCATGTCTGTCCCATGCTGGATGCCCCGGTGCCACCAGAGCCGCTGACAGGGGTCCAATCTCTGCAGACCCCCCTGCCGTCAGCATGGCAAACCGGGGACCGTCGTATGGCCTCAGCCGGGAGGTGCAGCAGAAGATCGACCGGCAGTATGACCCTGAGCTGGAGCAGGTCCTGGTGCGGTGGATCCTGGCGCAGTGTGGTGGGGACGTCGCGCAGCCGGCACCTGGCAGGGATGGCTTCCAGCAGTGGCTGAAAGACGGCACCGTGAGTACCCTCAGGGCCGGCCGGGGCAGGGGGCTGCTGCGCCACACCACCTGACGCCTGGCTCCCTCCCGGCCAGGTGCTGTGCCGGCTCATCAACAGCCTGCACCCGCGGGGCCAGGGGCCGGTGGCCAAGATCCAGGCGTCTGCCATGGCCTTCAAGCAGATGGAGCAGATCTCGCAGTTCCTGCAGGCAGCCGAGCGCTACGGCATCGCTGCCACTGACATCTTTCAGACCGTCGACCTCTGGGAAGGTGAGCGGCTGGGTGGGTGCAGGGGACGGTGACGGGGTTGGAGATGGATGGGGACGGGGCTGAGCCTGCCTGGGGCCTTGCAGGGAAGAACATGGCGTGCGTGCAGAGGACCCTGATGAACCTGGGCAGCCTGGCCGTGGCCAAGGGCGACGGGCTCTTCGTGGGAGACCCCAACTGGTTCCCCAAGTAGGTGGTGGGTGCTGGGGGGGGGGTGCCG